ATCATTATATAATGTAACCATCAAGTTACTGAAGCTTCCTCATCTTTTAACAAACAGTGAAACACAACCATAGAATATGATAACAGGCATCATCAAAATGCAAAATAGAGCATTCTTTTGAATACACCACAAGACGGTTCACTAACATTGTCGCAATTAGGCTCATCAGAACCATCTTTGCAGTGATCTTGATTATCACAGATCTGTGATGGATGAATGCAATTTCCATTCTGGCACTGGAACTGTCCAGGAGTGCAGCTGTAAGTTGGGCAGTCTGGGGGTTCATCAGAGCCGTCACCACAATCGTCCTGCAGAAAGAAATTGTATGTAGTTAGTTTGATAGACATACTTAAAGAAAATACAATTAAATAACTAGTGCTTAACACACTAAAGATTTGCTGTCATTTACTCAATAAAGGAAAGAACATACTGTATCTGTGCATAGACCTAAAGACATACAGTACAGAATTATTAAATCCAACAAAACCTTTTCTGTTACATCTGTCTGGTCAAATCTAAATATAATCCTGCAAAAAAATAGTAACAGACCTTATAAATAAGCAAAGCAAAAACTAAATTCAACAACTGAAGTTCAAAGAAATCTTGGGTCTTCACCTATTCAAAGAAAGAAAGAAAGAAAAAAAAAAATCATAAATAATAGACAAAACACGAATCTCACCTGTGTATCACACTTCCACCAGAAGGGGATGCATTTGTAGGTGGAACTGCAGACAAACATGGAACTCAGGCAGTTGCTCTTGCATGAAACACCGTCTTCCCCCAACACAAAGTTTTCAGGGCAGGTACACGTCTTTCCACCATTTGGCGCAAGGAGACACATTGTATCACAGCCTCCATTATTTTCACAAGGATTGTTGTCCACTGCAAGAAACAAACTGAATTCAAATTCTCTGCAATTAACCTTTTTTTTCTCAGATGAAATGCTCAAAGAAACCAGAGTATACTCAGTGACACCATATAAAGCTAGGTATAACTTGTTGCATATCTGTGTATCATAACCAGCCTACTGAGTCAACCTGTGAGATGATACAGTGCAAGTGCCCACCCAATATCGGTACCATAATGGAGGACACAGGATTAAGACTGAACTACTTTTTTCCTTCAGGGTGCAATGATAATACGATACACAGATATGCTGCGAGTGGCTACCTGGCTGAAATTTGCCAATTAAATCACAACATTTACGTACATGGTAACTGTCTATAAGGATGATACACATGAATGTCCATAGGTCGGTGTACTGCTGTATAAATCTTCTTCACGTCTCTGCCAGTGTACTTATGGGCTCTCAGCACACTCTTTAATTCCCAGTCGGTCCAATAGAGATAGTCTTCGAACACCGAGATAGCGAATACATGCTGGACGTGCAATGGGTCTGTGTCTGCAAAAAGTAGAAAAAAATTGATACAAGTCAGTATCATACCTCCTCATTTTTCTCATCTTATATTTCCCTCAAAGCACCAAATTATGCATCACATGGCCTCATCCCAGTTTCTCGTGTTTCTACTATTCGAACATCTTGATATTTGCAAATACATCTAAATATACGTTTTACTGTTTGCTAGGATAAAAAAGATTTTTTTTCCCTGCTTTACATAAGTTTTATCCCCTAATTCATCATGCAAGGGGTAACTGCAATAAATTTTTCAACTTTGTGTTCTATTGATGCTTATGTAATGGATTGTGTGTGTGTGTGTGTGTGTGTGTGTGTGTGTGTGTGTGTGTGTGTGTGTGTGTGTGTGTGTGTGTGTGTGTGTGTGTGTGGTGTGTGTGTGTGTGCGTGTGTGTGCATGTGCGTGTGCGTGTGCATGTGCGTGTGCATGTGTTTGTGCATGCATGTGCGTGCATGTGTGTGTGTGTGTATGTGCGTGAATATGTGTGTGCATGCATGTGTGTGCGTACATGTGTGTGTGTGTGCGTGTGTGTGTGCGTGCATGTGTGTGCGTGCATGTGTGTGCATGTACGTGTGCGTGCATGTGGTGTGCATGTGTGCGTGCATGTGTGTGCATGTACGTGTGCGTGCATGTGTGTGCATGTACGTGTGCGTGCATGTACGTGTGCGTGCATGTGTGCATGTACGTGTGCGTGCTGTTGTGCGTGCACGTGTATTTGTAACACACACACGTTTCCAATGTAAATCCAGCTGCAATGGAATCACAAACCCTTATTCCTGATAATCTTCATGTTGTTCCCCTCGAGGTCGGAATGGGCGATGTAGTCCTGGTACGCGTCGGCCCAGAACAGCTCATTGGTGACGTAGGAGATGGTGAGGGCGTTGGGCCACCCCAGGGACGTGTTGACGATGATCCGCTGGTCCGAACCGTCCATCCCCGCCTTGCCGATGTGCGGTTGGTTCCCCCAGTCCGTCCAGTACATGTTGCTGTGGGGGAGGGGGAGCTGTCAGTCGTGGCTTGCTAACGCCTTTTATTTATTTATTTACTTTTAACTGATGTGTTATTGAGGGGGAAATAAATTACCAGTATAACGGTTGATGAGAAGGTTTACTTTGCCGTAATAAAAAATGTCGTATCATCAACATATGACAAAGAAAAGAGTACATAAAAAAGTAAGTCTCAATTTCAGAGAAGCAAATTTCCTAAAATGTAAATAAGACGAAAGAGTAGCATATTACGGTAACACAACTTAATTCAACACTTTGGATACAACCCACAATTCCACTAGAAAACCCAGAGGAATGATCACTTTCGGTCAACACATTAAAAAAAAATTAATCAACAAAAACCCGCTACAAAAAAAAAAAAAAAAAAAAAAAAAATCAAATCCCACTATGAATCAAATCTAAAAAAAAAAAAAACACACACACAAACCAAATCCACTGATAAATCTTGAAACAAAAAAAAAAAGAAAAAACACAGCAACTTCACGACCAACAAACACCCCGAACCTACCCGTGGTAAGGATCCAACACAATAGCTCTCGGATCCTGGAGACCGGAGGTGATCAGGGCCTTCCTGTACTGCCCATCGAGCTTGGAAACCTCGATGGTATCTTTGCTCTTGTCACACCAGTACAGGTTACGGCCCACCCAGTCCAGCGCTATGCCGTCCGGGCTCTGAACGGCGGAGTGGAGAACCTGGAGGGGAAAAATGGAAAGATGGGGATTTGTAAATAGGGTGTGCCGGTGGGGGGTATTGGGTGCGGGTAGGGTCTCTGTAGGGTCTTTCTCTTCTCTCTCTCTCTATCTCTCTCTTCTCTCTCTCTCTCTCTCTCTCTCTCTCTCATCTCTCTCTTCTCTCTCTCTCTCTCACCTCTCATCTCTCTCTCTCTCTCTCTCTCTCTCTCTCTCTCTCTCTCTCTCTCTCTCTCTCTCTCCTCTCTCTCTCTCTCTCTCTCTCTCTCTCTCCTCTCTCTCTTCTCTCTCTCTCTCTCTCTCTCTCTCTCTCTCTCTCTCTCCCTCTCTCTCTCTCTCTCTCTCTCTCTCGTCTCTCCCTCTCTCTCTCCTCTCTCCTCTCTCTTCCCTCTCTCTCCTCTCTCCTCTCTCCTCTCTTCCCCTCCCGTCCTTCTCTCCCTCTCCTCTCTCTCTCCTCTCTCCCTCTCTCTCTTCCTCCCTCTCCTCTCTCTCTCTCTCTCTCCTCTTCCTCTCTCTTCGCTCTCCTCTCCTTACTCTCTCTCCTCTCTCTCTCCTCTCCTCCTCTCCTCCCTCATCATCTTCCCCCTCGCTCTCTCCTCTGTCTCTCTCTCTCTCTCTCTTCTCCCTCTTCTCTTCTCTCTCTCCTCTCTCCTCTCTCTCTCTCTCTCCCTCTCCTCTCTCTCTTCTCAATCCTCTTCCTCTCCTCGTCTCTCCTCTCATCTCTCTCCCGCTTCTCTCTCTCTCTCTCCTCCGCTCCTCTTCCGTCCTTCTCTCTCTTCTTCTCTCTCTCTCTCTCTTTCCGTCCTCTCTCTCTTCTCTCTCCCCTCTCTCTCTCTCCTCACTCTCTTCTCCTCTCGCTTCCCTCTTTTCTCTCCACCCTTCCCCTCATCAACTCAATCTCTCTCTCTCTCTCTCCCTGCTCCCATCTCCCCTCTCTCCCTCTCTGTCCCTCTGCTCTTCTCTTCTCTCTCTCACCTCTCCTTCTCTCTCCCCCTCTCCTCTCTCTCCCCTCTTCTTCTCTCCTTCTCTCTCCTTCTCTCTCGTCTTCTCCCTCCCTCTCTCTCCTCTCTTCTCTCTTCTCTCCAATCTCTCTCCTCTCTCTCTCTCGTCCCTCTCTTCTCTCTTCTCTCCTCTTCTTCTCTCTTCCTTCTCCT